TTTGTTTTTTGTTTTTTTGAGACAGGGTCTCACTATGTAGTTGAGACTGACCTGGAACTTACTATGTAGCTCAGGCTGGTCTCAAGCTCACAGTGATCCTCCTGCCTCAGCCTCCCGAGTGCTGGGATTACAGGCATGCGCCACCACTCCTGGCCCCTTGAAGGATTTTTAAACAACATTCTGTTGTAGCACATGTATATTGACTGCAACTTTTGATTTTTTTTTTCCCTTCAGCAAAACATTGTTTTGGGACATTAATTTGTGTTACATTCTGTGGGGTTATGTAGAGGTAATTGTTAAAATTGACAATTAGATGCATATGTGAGTAAAAATCTGAGTTATTTATAATTAAGTTAAAATACTAAAGACATTTGCTAAGTGTACATTCATCTTAAAATTTCTAAGAGTATTAGGTGTATTTGATAGATTGTTGTCACGTGTGTATGTAATACTAATGCAAGATCAGAAGCTGTCACTCTTCAATCCGTTGCAGAGGAAACATTCTAGAGGCGCCATGAGCACCTGAGAATGGGGACTTTGTCAAACTATCCGTCAACTTAAAATGAGTATTAATGAATAGTGTCAAAGTGAGTGGGGGTTGGAGCTCTTCCTTTTAAGATGCCCTAATGTTAATAATTTGAATAAGCACCTCTAATTTAATACTCTACCACCAGTGAGTTTTAAGAAAAAAAAATTGGTGTGAAGATTGATAGCTGACTAACTGGTCTGTTAATGGCTTGGTTTGTTAATGACCAAATGCGGATAGTTTTAAGAGATGCTAAGGAATGCTTGCCTGCTTCTCTGTAGTAGACAGGTATTATTTTACTCTCTAGTTTTGCTTAAATTAAGTGCTTGAATATTAAAAGTCACCTTGTTTTTATAGCAAAACACATTTTGGACTTTTCCTGTCGAGTATGTTGTGTGTTCTGGTTTTTTTTTGTTGTTGACTGTTTCTTTTTTCCAGTACTGGAGGTTGAACTCAGGACCTTGTGCTTGCCAGGCAGGCGTGGTGACGCTGAGCTACATCCCCAGCCCTGTTTTCTAAAGGTACAGAGCTTACATTTACATATGACACAGTTTGGGACACAAACATGAGCAATAACATGACTTTTTAAACTCAGTAACCTATGTGTAGGTGACACAATTTTGTAATAATGTAAAAGTTATTATTGTAAGTCGATCATTAGTATTGTTTCGGATTTTTTGTGGATTTTTTTTGTTGTTCCGGGGATCAAATTCGGGTCCTTGTGTAGAGACCTAGGGCCTTCCACCCTGAGGAGCTTGAACAGCCGAAAGGGCCTCCAGGATGCTGGGCCTGTAGCCTAGCGATTGCTCTAGATGTAGGACCTAGGGCCTTACTTCCAGGAGCTTGATGAGCAGCGAGAATCACCCAGGAAGGAACGCACCAGATTAGGTGGGAAACAGACCTTTGTTAGTCTGGCCAGACGGCACTCGCGGAGTCAAGCAGCTCAAGAGAGGCAACTGCTCAGGGGCTGAGGTACTTTTATAGGGTTTTTCTAAACAAAAAAGTTCAAACATAGGTCGGGGCTTTCTCACAACTGCAAGGGAGAGAAGCTCCAGATACCTTTACTTGTCTTACACTTGTCTTCAGAGTTAGTGTTTATGTTCACCTTCAACATCCCGTCTGTTCCTGGGCAGGCTTATTAATCAAGTTAGCCCTTAGTGCAAGAAGGTTTTGCAGTTTTAGTAGTTTTCCCTGTTGGATACAAGGAGGGGGAAGCACAGTGCCTGGCCTATTAGCAGGCCAGTGTGGAGCCAGCTTAGTTAGGTCTCGCATTCCCCGCTGATTTTAGCTTGATTCATCATTTTGCTTAAAATTTTATTTAGCTTAGGGGTCATAGCAATTTGTAAAGGCATCTTTTCAGACAGCTAAGTTGGGGGTTAGGATCCCCAGCATATAAAGGTCACGTTTTTTTAATCATCTGTGGGCTTATAAACAATTCAAAAGCGTAACCGCTCCTAACAGTTGGACACAATATAAGAGTCCATGTCTTCACTGCAGTTCTCATTCTTCAGGTGTGCTCGCACTCACCAGCTCCTGGTGTGAGAGCAGGGCTTTGAGTCCTGGAGTCAGGAGCCGTGGAATTCTGTTTCACTCTAGAGTGGTGGTATCTGAGTTTCAGGTACCTTGACAGCTGTGGGAGGAACCATGGGTGGGTGCCTGTTAGGGCCCTTCCCATAGAAGTTGTAAAGGGGTCTTATTTCTAATTTAAAATAAATCAGTCCCTCAATTTAAAATCTTGTGTATCTCTGACGCCCACTAATTTATAGGGAAGGCCTCGGGCCATCCAGAATAAGTACAAACCCGTGCCCACACATGTATAACCTTCATAAGGGGAGGGTATAATCCTCTAAAGCTTCTGCTTAGTTGTCTCTCTGGCTTATACGTCTACCTGAGCATTGGCGTTGGTTGTTGCATCTTTTTTGAATCATTATAGCTACTGTCAGATTTCCACCTTGCCTCAAATAACTATATCACGTTTATTTTTAATAAGTTTTCCCTCTGCTGTGAGAAGACCACACTTCCATAGGCTGTGCCATAGATATACCAAGTGGCAAACAGGAATCTGTATAAACACTTACCCTTTTTCTTTTGTCCATTGGTAAGCCTGTATGAGCACCCATAGCTCTGCTCACTGAGCTGACCATCCAGTGGGGAGGGGTCCTGCTTGGACCACTTCATCTTGAGTCGTCTCTGCATAGCCAGCATAGCGTACCCCATTTTCCATGAAGTTGCTCCCATCCTTGAACAGGATAAAATCAGCCTCTGGCAGCAAGTCTTGCTACAGATCGGATGACTGGAGAACAATTCGTCAGTGACCCACAGGCAGGCGTGGTCAGAGGGCCAGGTTCCGAGGGCAAAATAGTAGCAGGGCTTAAGGTTCTAACTGGAACAAAATATAGGCAGGGATTCTCACAGATGAGGGCCTGATATCATGTGACTATTATTTGAGAGCCATCAATGGCTTGTTATTCAATAGTTCTAAAGGGCATGGGGAAACTGAACAATCCATTTTTTCTAATGTTACAGGGTCAGGGTCAGCTTCCTTAATTAGCATAACTGCACCTACCAGGGCTCAAACAAGGGAGCTATATTTTCACAGCTGGATCCAAACTCTAAGATAAATACGTCACTGGCTCATTCTATGGTGAGCACCCCGAAAGCAGTAGGATTTCTTTCAGTCACGTACAAACTAAAAGGCTGGGTCACATTTAGGATCCCTGATACAGGGGGTAGCAGAGAGTTAGTTTTAGCTGTTTAAATGCTGACTCTTGCTCTTTACCCTATAATAATTACTGTCCTCTTGGGCCATTTAAAGATTCATACATATAGAGAATTCAGATCCTGCAAAAAACCTTCTACCACCAAAATTCTCTCATCTGCTTTCAAATCCTTTTATCTCCAAGCAGCATATTTCTTTGGAAACTTCAAATCCTAGATAGCTGACTTGCTGTATGCAAATTTGAGCCTTTTCCATGAAACTTTATATTCTGCCTCTTGAAGCAGCACTAGTAGTTTTTTTCAGCATTAACGGTTTACTACCCTGTGAAGATTCTATTCATTTAGTACATCAGAAAATTAATAATTTTATGTATGAAACTTCATAACCTTTAATCTAATTTGGTATCAAAAAGCATTTTTCTAATAAAACCTTTCCATAACATTTTCCACAGAAAAGTCAGTTTGAAAATGACTATTATAAACATAATATTTAGAATCTAACCCTTTGATAACCAATGTAAACTTTCTATAATATATTTAATGATGTTTATTGGGAGTGTATCTTCCCATAGGCTATGAAAACTATTGGGGCTTCCATTAGTGAATAAAGACCAGAGTAAATTTTTCTGAGCAGCTGTCCTTTTTACTATTAAACAGGAGTCTATCTAGACCTGAGTTTATTATTATCTTGACAAAGTTTTAACTTATAAAACCAGGTTATAGAAATTAACAAATCATTTGGATCCTTGATGTCATTTCAATCAAAAATATAACTGGATAGTCATTTCAAACAATTGGTCACAGACAGACCATTTATGAAACTGTAATGCCCTCAAATGTATTTGGCCAATTGAATTATACAATCTAGTTATGACTAGTCAAAGCTTTTGTAGGTCAATTAACATTTCTTGTAGAATTAGAATAAAAAGGAATGAAAGCTTTTTATGACTAAATGTAAACCTTCTGTAACAAACTTGAAACCAACAAGCAAATATACATAAATCATTTCCATACACCTTCTCTCCATACTTAGGCCTTCTGGTCTTGTATGTTTCCATCTCTAACAAGACAAACATACAAAATCCTTTCATATCAAAAAGTGTCTTTTACCCATAGCTTTCCTAATCTCTTCCTGTCTCATTTACTATTAACCTTCTATAACAAACTTCAGTTGTTAAAATCTTACAGTGTCCCCTTTTTTTCTGTTCTCAGATTGTTACATCTTAAAATTTGACTGGTTACCTATGGAACAGTATTAACCTTGAGTTTCTATCAACAAAGTACAGAAAAGAGCGAGTTAACCCTATATTCGCAATTCAAGAATTTGCAATGCACAATAAGTGTTTGTTTTGTTTTGTTTTTTTTTGAGACAGGGTCTCACTATGTAGTTGAGACTGACCTGGAACTCACTATGTAGCCCAGGCTGGTTTCGAACTCACAGTGATCGTCCTGCCTCAGCCTCCCGAGTGCTGGAATTACAGGTGTGCACCACCACACACGGCCCACAAGAAGTGTTTTAAGCACACCAATTAAACTTAATTCAAGTTGAAACAAAGATACATTAATCAAATAGTTAAAATTTATAACGATTTTTCTTGTAAAAAATCTCGATGTCTGGTAAAAAACAATTGTAGTTTTTCTGGCTTGCAGTTTATGTTTTTAATGCAAAGATTTTTTTTCTCATTTTAGTTCTTTGTACTCTGAGTGCAAGCCCCGTTTCATTTTCTCTGAGTCCCGTCATGCTTTCTCATCTGCACCCTCCAGTGCAGTAAAGCTAAACAATTTTGTTTTCGTTCCCACCTCCTCCACACCTTCGATCTTAGCAACTTGAGTGGGGTGGGGGATAGCCTGGCTCCTCCAAAGGGGAAACACTGGGATTTGCCTGCATCGAGGTCACATTTTCCGATTGAGGCAAGCTCACCACGGGAAAAACAGCAGGTTTGGCAAGCAGTTGTTCTAAGACCAAAACTAAATAGTTCTCGCTAGCAGCGGATTACCGTGGGGCAGACGCTTGAGCAGCTCCTAGAGCGCACAAGCTCCAAGTTGCCAAAGTCTCGCATAAACAAAACAAAGGCAGATAACTTTCCTTTTGTCTAGTTTTTTTCTGGGGGCCAAGTCTGGCTTTGCTGAGACTATAACTCTCAGTTTCTTAAGCATCTTTGGCTGCAGTTTTTATCTCATAGTCCCCCACAAATCTTCATCAAAATTCGGAATCATGCACTTACGGACAGTCGGTTTAGTAGTAGCATTTCCCACGACCATTCGATATCCCTAGTCCGGTGACTCAGACAAAGCGCGGGTGCCGTCCCAGAACACGGCCTCTGTCACTCGTCAGCCCAGGTCCGAGCTTCCCAGCCTTTTCGGGCTCCCTCAAACTAAACGAGGGCGGGTTTCTCGTCACAAGCCTCTCCATTACGTCCTTTCTAAGTGCGACCACAGACTCGCAGCACTGACCCACACGAGCTCCACAACGCCGGGAGGGCTCTTTAAGCTCAAGCGCCCCCTCCCTTTGTTTTGGCGCACAGATGAGGCTCCTTCCCCACTCTCCTAACCAAGTCTTTCCCACACACCGTCACACAGGAAGTTAACGCTTCCCTCCCTGGGGCCCCTTCCAAAGACAGACTAGGGAGCAGCCCAGGGGATCTCACCGTTCAGACAGAGGATTTCACTCACTCGCCTGCCTTCTGTTCTGCTACCAGCGAGCTGGCCTCCGAGTTCCGGAACGGGACCCAGGAAATCCCGGGAGCGCCTCTTCCCTTCCGAGGAGGCCGACAGTCACCTCCTCCAGTGGGACTCGGGTCGAGGCCCAATACGGGCTGTATCAGCCCCTTTCCTTCCCGGCCACTGCAGCCGGAGGCTCTTCACAAGCTGGACCCAAATATTTATATAAGGAAAGTGGTCGGGGTGGCTGGGGTGCCCGGTGACTTCCCCATACAGCCGGACAGAGGCTCGATTCAAAGCAGCCCTCGGTTGGCCGTTCCAATTGACACAGGGAGTGAAGCTTTCCACGGGAGAATTCAACCCCCTACACCTGCTCCTGCTAAGGGGAAAAACAACAATTTAAAATTAGAAAGCAATCTAGGGGGGCGTCCTTGGAGCAAGATCCTCCCATTTCTGGCCTAAGAAAATACAAAAGTTAACACACAACAGACTGGACACTGACGTACAAACAATAAGAATGAACAGGCGCCACAACAAATTAAAGCTTTACCCTACCGAACCTCGGGGTCAGGGGAGGCTTCCCGGCTCATCAGCCACCTCACTCCTGACAACAAACGGCTGCAACCGGCCCAAAGCTTACCTCCGGAGGTTTCCCGAGGTCTGTGGCCGAGAGTCTCAGCTGGGCCGGGGGTTCCCACCCGGGGATCTCACCGGGGCCTCCAAAAATGGAAGACCAAGAGCCTTACCAACCGCTCCGAGGAGTCAACGGCTGCGAGAATCACCCGGGAAGGAGCCCACTGGAAGAGTTGGAAATGAGACAGACCTTAGTCTGGCCAGACGCACTCCCGGGGCCGAGTAGCTCGGAGCTGCGCTAGCTCAGGGCCTGAGGTAGTCTTCTAAGGGGATACGGGGGAGCTGACAGTCAAAGCTGGCACAGGTGGCCGTTCAACGGCTGCGAGAATCACCCGGGAAGGAGCCCACTGGAGAAGTTGGAAATGAGACAGACCTTAGTCTGGCCAGACGCACTCCCGGGGCCGAGTAGCTCGGAGCTGCGCTAGCTCAGGGCCTGAGGTCGTCTTCTAAGGGGATACGGGGGAGCTGACAGTCAAAGCTGGCAGTCAGGTGGCCGAGGTCCATGGTCTGCTGATTCGCACTGCTGGCAGCTGTCACGTATGCGGCGGCACACGTTGATGGTTAACAGATGCCTACAAGGTGTTCTAAGAGCTTAAAAGTATTTCGGTTTAAGCAGTTTTCCCTGTTGAAGATCGGGGAGGGTGAAGCAACAGTCTCCGGGCCATTAGCTGGCCAACATGGAGTCACTTTAGCTCAGTCAGGTGTCACAAGCCCCACTGGTTTTACACTTGAAGTAATCTTACGTACAAACACGGGCAGCAGCAAGACAAAATTAAGTATAAAAACACAACCACTATAGCAACAAGGAAAATTCGTTTTAACCATTTTAGGTTGGCAACCAATTTGTCAGCCATTGGAATAAATCCCCGGGCCCTCATCAGTCAAATTAAAACAACACACATTTTTAACCTTTTCACATCCTTGATGAAAAAGCAGCAGGTAGTCTATCGCTGCTCCATTATCTAGGACTGCTTGTCTCTGTTCCTGTAATTCTTGGTTAATTAAGGCCAAGGCTGATGATGTAGCATTTAACCCTTTGGCCACTTTACCTGCTAATTTTTGTACCGCTTTTTCTGCATGGATCCCTATGGCAGGTTGAGCTATTACAAATGCTATCACAGGTATCACTGCACCTGTTATGAACCCTGTATCATCATCACACCCTGCGCACTGTAAGGGGACCAGCATTTGGTTCATTTGGTGTAATCACGTCAGTTCTTTCTGGTAAAACTACAGCTAGAAGACGGCTCAGGCAGCAGCGAGTCAGACATACCGGCTGGAATGTAATTGTACGTTATTCCTCCACGGGTACAGAATCATCCCATTTGTAGGGTGATGTGGCAATGGTTGTACCCAATTTTCTGCTCTATATGGCAGGCCATTCCTTTTGCCCAATTTTTAGACATTTGATTGTACAATTTTCATATTAGCACATTGGGTGTCATTTGACATAACTACTCTGGGTGTACCTAGTTTGACAGCATTGTTAGGCTGGCGACAGGAGGCCTGTCCCCAGTTGTAACTATATAGCTTTTTTCCTGGGATGTCTTTAAACAAGGTAAAGGGTCGTATGAACTCTAAAGGGGCTCACACACCGGAATGAGGCAGCTTCTTAGTACATAATGAAAATTCACATCAACGTTTCAATAAATTTCAGACAGATTGAGTTTGCCAATTGACTCCATACATTTTTTTGGGTGATCCAGTCCTCTCAGGGGCAGCATTGCCAGTGTCCCAGAGAGCACCATCACAAATGTGAGACATCTCCAACCTGTTTGTCTTAGCTTTTGGCCGCCTGGTTGGCTGATGACCTTCCTTCTGTCTTTTGTGACGTCTGTGGGGGTCCTGGTTTCAGATGCTTGTGATGTATCCAGGCAGAATGTCCAGCTACCTTCACTGCCAAGGGGGTACACAGGACAACTGGAACTGGTCCTAGGGTCTTGGAGTCGAACCTGTGGATATAAACCAAATCCCCCAGCTTATAGGATAAAGGTTGCAAAGGATTTTCATTTGAACAGGGATAGTTCTCAACTTATCATATAACTGATTGGAGCTGATGGACAGCTGTTAGGGGTTTAAGGAGGACTGCAACAGGGAGAAGTTGTACCCAGCCTAGTTCAGGCTCCAGGCTTAGTCTCCTTTAAGGCTCAATTTGCTCTTCTACCTGTCCTGAACTTTAAGGCCCTCAGGCACGGTGTAGTTCCATTTGATCCCGAGGACATGACATTAATTTGGATCTTGGCCGTAAAGGCTGGACCATCGTCAGACCCAGAGCTGAGGGTAGGCCCAAATGGGGAACCGCTCTGTCATAAGCTGTCTGTCACCTCAGCTGTCTCGTTTTTAGGAGGATATTGCTTCTATCCATCCTGAAAAGGTATCCACAAAACTAATAAATATCTGGACCTATACATGATACATGCCGGACTTCATTTCAGAAAGTCCAGTTCCCGAAGTTCTGGAGTTTGTCCTGTGTCGGACCCCGGGGGCCCTCACCGGATTTGCATTTTCCTTGAGGCAGGCGGGGCATCGTCTCACCGTAACCTGGGCTTTTGGGGCCAGTCCTTTGCTGACGAAATGCGGCTGCAGGGCAGCCATCACTCTCCTCACCACCGAAATGGGGGCTTCCTGGAGCTCACGCAACGTGTCAGCCACAGCAGCGCGAGAACCACCCTCCATCGTCAGCTGTCCACCATCCACGCTTTGCTCGGGTCCAGTGCTGCTTGTTCATTTCTGCTACCTCTTTATCTGGGTTTTCAGGTTTTTCCGGAAGTACTGGCATGAGCAGCAAAACCAATTGCTTCCCCACTGATTTGGGGGCAGCTTGTTTTGCTGCCTGACCAGCAGCATTATTTCCAGTCACCTCAGGGCTAGACCCCTTTTGATACCTGCGGCAATGGATGATGGCGACCTTTCTAGGCATGCAAACGGCTTGCAGCAATGCCAATATCTCAGTTTTGTCATCCATTTCCTTTCCTTCGGATGTCAAGAGCCCTTTATTTTGATAAATCTCATGTACATGGGCATTGGCAAAAGCTTAATGGCTGTCAGTGAATGTGTTTATTCTTTCTCCTTTTCCCAACTCTAAAGCTCTAGTCAAAGCAATCAGTCCAGCCCTGTGCTGATGTTCGTTGGGGTAATCCCTGCTCCCACCCCACCACCTGTTGGTCTTGGCTGACCACCGCTGCCCCAGCATACCACACGCCATCCGTACGAAACTGCATACATCAGTGTAGAACGTCACCTCTACGTGAGGGAGGGCCTGGTCTGTCAAATCTGGGCGCCCTCCCCGCAAATTTTCAAGAGTCTCGAGACAATCGTGGATGGGCAGCTGATCGTCAAACTTGGGGAACAGCGCAGCCGGATTGAGGCTGGATCGAGGCTAGCGGTGGTGGCCAACTCGATGCGTGGCTGCTCCAGGAAAAGCCCTTGATATTCTAACAGCCTGGCATCAGACAGCCACTTGCTAGGTGAGCTGTTTAATAAGGGCTCATGGCATGGGTAGGGATCAGAGTCAAATCTTGGCCAAAGATCAATTTGTCAGCCTCTCGGGTTAAAACAGCTGCTGCTGCTACTGTCCTCTTCCATGGCCCCCAAAACCGAGTCATCACTCCCTCGGCTACCCCGTTCTTCTCTGCTACAAAGAAGGCGAAGGGCTTACTCAAGCCTGGTTCGGCCAGGGCTGGTGCCGATGCAAGCGCGGTTTGAAGGAATGGGAATGCCTGCTGTCAAGCCTCAGTCCATCCGAGGGGCGCATTTCCCCCTGCTGTGGCTTCGAGCCGGGGTTTAGCAATTCCAGCAAAGCCAGGAATCCAAATTCTGCAATATTCAATTGTCCCTAGGAATTCTTGCACTTGTTTCTTTTTCCCGTCTCAAGAATATAGCCCAAGTAAGTTACCTCGGTCTGGCAGAGCCAAGCTTTCCTCCAGGACACCCGATATCCCAGTTTTGTAGGGCTTCCAGGGGGCCCTGGGGGTGGGGTGCTGAAAGACACTCTTCCTCCTTTGAAGTTGCCACCAAGAGGTCATCTACATACTAAAGAATAGTTGCTTGGGGAAAGGCTCTCCTTACCTCTCCTAGATCTTTGCCCAAGAGCTTCCCCAAACAGACTTGGGGAGTTCTTGCATCTCTGTGGCAGCCGGGTCCGTGGCAGCTGTCCAGCAGTCCCTGTGTCTGGGTCAGTCCATTCGAAGGTGAGAGGGGCTGGCTCACTGGAGCGAGGGGCAGGCTGAAAAATGCATCTGCAAGATCTAAAACCGAGTCCCATCCACGAGCAGGAGGATGAGACTCAGCAGTGTATAGGGGTTTGGTACCATCGGGTGGATGGTCTCTGCCTGGCTGTTTACCTCCCGCAAATCCTGTACCAGTCTGAAGTCTGAGGTGCCGGGCCTTCTCAAGGGCAGCAGGGGTGTATTCCAGGCCAACTGATAAGGATCAGGATGCCGGCTTCCTGGAGTCATGAATGTGCCTAGAGACCCCCACCTTGGCCTCCCGCTGGAGCGGGTACTGCCCCACACGGGCCCGGGTGGCCAAAGCCGGCAACTGAACCACCACCGGGGCATGGTGTTTGCCAACCCTGATGGGTTTGCTTCAGCCCATACCCGAGGAAACTTTTTCTGGAGATCGTCCCATTTCTGTTTGGGGGTTTAGTGCCCCCCTTCACATCTTAAATTCATCTTCAAGGGGAACCCTTACCGTAATAGGGGGTGGCTTGAGTTCTAAAGCCCCTCCCCCTCAGGCTCAAAGGAAATGACAGCCCCCAATTTTTGTAGGACATCTCCTCCCAGCAGCGGACATGGCCACTCAGGAATAACTAAGGAGGAGAGTGACGGTGCCTGTTCCCGGATTTACAGTTTGTTCGGTGCTCCAAGGAGAAGAGGCCGATTTTCCTGTGGCTCCAGTAACGGAGGACTTCAGGGAGGAAAGGGTTCCGAGAGGGGCCTTGAGGACGGAATGGGCCGTGCCAGTGTCCACGAGGAACTGGACCTCTGTTCCCCCTATTCCCAAAGTCACCATGGGCTCACCCGGGTTGAGCGGCCATGGGCCTCGGCCCGTCAGCCCTCCTCATCAGGAGAACTCCATCTGCTTTTCAACTTCTCACAATCCCTCCTATAACGGCCCTTCTCTCTGCAAAACCTGCGTTGGTCCTTCTCTAGCGAGGGCCATACCTTACTTCTATCTTCTTTAATTTTTTCCTTCTTTTCAGACAAAACCTCCATCTGTTAAGGCAGAAGTATTTGCCCCTCCCTTTTAGCCATTCTGTCCCCCAAGGGATCCCTGTTGTTGTACACCTTTCATTGCTACACTCATCAAATTTTCCCTTTTCCCCCTCAAATCCTTCCATTCGCTGTAATTTCTTCTTAATATCTGGGGCCGACTGGGTGTCAAAAGCCAAATTAATTGCTGCCCACCAATTTGCTGGAGCCTCTGGGTCAATTGGAGTACACGTACGCACGCCCCAGAAAGGCAGAAGGGGATCCCCCAGGTCCCTGAAGGGCCTCGCTTACCTTACTCAAACGGGTAGGCTTCCGAGCGCTGCCTTCAGGCTGGCTAGGAGATGCGGTAGTCGTGGGGAGCTTCTCTTCCACCCGAGGAATTTACTTGCCACCGGGGACGGGTGGACGGAAGCTGTGCCTCAATACGGGGTCGTTGTTGTTCATCGAGGGGGCCCTCTGTCCCTCCCAATACCGATTTTATGGCTTGCCCCGAATCCTTTCTCTTTCCTTGGAAGTAAAAAGGGCTTAGAGGAGTTGTTGACAGTCATCCCAAGTGGGATCATGGGTATGAAAGACAGATTCTAGGAGGGAGATCAAAGCCTGGGGTTTTTCTGAGAAAGGGGGATTCTGATGTTTCCAATTCTATAAATCCCGGGTAGAGAAGGGAACATAGACATAATGACCTTGCTCTTTCTGGAAGGGGCAAAAGGGGAGCTGAACTGGTTCCTACAGAGGAAGCTTCACTGGGGCCATAAGCAGCCCCTGTTTGTGTATGAGAGGGGAGAGGTTACAGAATCTGGTGATTTTCCCCTGCAGGGAGAGGGGGGTAGAAAGAGTTTCGAGATCTGCGACCAGCTTCGGCAGAGGAGGTGGAAGGCTCCACACGGGGAGGAGGTCTTTACTGAGGGATCCAAGGGATCTAAGGGATCAGGGTCTTGTGAGACCACCGGCTTGGGAGCTCAGGTTCTGACCTCCCGAGGTCCCGTTGGTGCCATAACCAAAAGGCGAGAGTCTGTCCACAGGGAGCAGCGCTGCAACCATGCTGGAGGCTCTTTACAAGCCTGGACCCCAAACATTTATATAAGGAAACTAGTCGGGGTTGTTAGGGAACTGATCATGTTAAAGTACGCTGTGACGCCGCCTCACAGGCTGCATTCTCCTGGTACCTCTTGGCTCCTAAAATGACCTCTTGCCCTTATCTCTGGTTTCCCTCCCACCAAGGCCACAGTGGTCCAGGAAGTTGAAACCTGTGTCTGCAGGACTGGGCCCATCAAAGCAATCTGGCCTGTGATAGGTTAAAAGTACCTCACTCCTCATAAATAAGCAATAGCCCACCCCAAAACTGATAGAAGGACCTTCCTTTCTTTGTTCTCTCTCTCCTTCTGCTTCTTCTTCCTCCTCTCTCTCTCTGCCTTCCTGCCTCCTGCTCGCCTCCCTACAGTAAAGATCTGCCGGACCTCTCGGTGTGTGAGTGGCCTAATTGGGAAGGGGCACCCGAAAGGGCACGTGAAGCCCCTTTCAGGGGTGACTGGGGTGCCCAGTGACTTTTCCCCATACAGCCTAGCAGAGATTTGGCTCAAAGGAGCCTTCAGCTGGCCATCCAACTGCTGCAAAGGCTGCCATTCCAATTGACAGAGGGAGCGAAGCTTTCCACGAGACAATTTAACCCCATATTCGTCCTCCTGTTGGGGGGGGCAATTTAAAATTAGTGAGGAAACAATCCAGCAGAGTATTCTTGGAGCAAGATTCTGCCATCGCTGTCCTTGATGGGTTGAAAGGAGAATATAAAGCTACACACAACAAATAGGACACTAACATACAGACAACAAAACAGACAGGCGCCACAACAAAAACAAAGCTTACTCTACCCTTGTTCCTCGTCAGGAACCTCGGGGGGGGGGCAGGGGAGAACTTCCCGGCTCATCAGCTGTCGCGAGCCGGCAACGCAGAGCACTGTCCAGCAGTGCCTCAAACCTGAAAGAGCAGCAGGGTGGAGATGGGGCAGAGAGAAAGGAAGGACGCCAAGAGTCTGATCAAGGCAACGTTTATTGCAGGCAGGCATCAGCCTTTTAAAGGAAAAGGCCGAACTATTATGGGCTAGGATTACCATAGTAACCTCAACACCCGCTCCTCGGGAACGAGGATTCACACGGGAAAGAGAAAGCAGGCTCAAGAAAAACAAATTAACAACACTTGCAACTAATAGTCATGATTCCCAAATAGGTGGAGGAACTTAACAAAATGGAGTTACAACACCTGACTCCTACAGATAACGTCAGATCTTTAACAGGAAGCACCTGACTCCTACAGATTTTTGGCTGTCCGAGTTTCTCCCGTGCAGGGTCAAAAAGCCAGTGGGCCATGGCTGGCTTCTCACAATCAGCCACCTCACTCCTGACAACAAACGGCTGCAACCGGCCCAAAGCTTACCTCCGGAGGTTTCCTGAGGTCTGTGGCCGAGAGTCTCAGCTGGGCCGGGGGTTCCCACCCGGGGATCTCACCGGGGCCTCCAAAAACATAAGACCAAGAGCCTTACCAACCGCTCCGAGGAGTCAACGGCTGCGAGAATCACCCGGGAAGGAGCCCACTGGAGAAGTTGGAAATGAGACAGACCTTTCTTAGTCTGGCCAGACGGCGCTCCCGGAACCAAGTGGCTGGCTCAGAGAGTCAACTGCTCAGGGGCTGAGGTGGTTTTATAGGGTTTTTCTAGACAAAAAAGTTCACACATAGGTCGGGGCTTTCTCACAACTACAAGGGAGAGAAGCTCCAGATACCTTTACTTGTCTAACACTTGTCTTCAGAGTTAGTGTTTATGTTCACCTTCAACATCTCCCGCAGGCTTATTAATCAAGTTAGCCCTTGGTGCGAGAAGGTTTTGCCATTTAAGTAGTTTTCCCTCTTTGATGAGGGGGAAGCATAGTCTCTGGCCTATTAGCAGGCCCGTGTGGAGCCCCTTTAGGTTACTTAGGTCTCACACTTGCACTTGTGAAGCAGGTGGCAGAACCACTGAGCCAAATCGCTGGCCTTTAAGTGTATCTTTTGTGTGAAGCATTTCTAATTATAGTTCTAAAAAAATCTGAAATCATTCAAAAAGTGAGGAAGATGTCACAGAAAAATTGGAAACTATATTTGTCAGAGTCTACAGTCCATAGAAGAGACAAAAAGTTGAACCATGCCCTTAAAGAAAATGGTCAAGCTCTGTCAAGAGACTCATTTTATTACAGATAACTAAGTTAGCTAGAAATTATAAGGTTGTTAGACAAGGCTGAGCCCTCAGCACAAAAAACCATCGGAATCACATTCACTGGTTAGCATTCTAAAAAAAAGGAAGTGCTGCAGCCATCTGCTTCCCCTGGGGATGAACAGCATCGACTGATATTCTAAATAAGCATTGCCTCCCTAGCTCATTTCTTTTCCAGAAATCCCTTGTTCTTTCCAAGTACCTTTGCTATATGACTCGCTTCCCCGTTTAATCCCCGTTTAGTCAGTATTACCTGGGAGACTGGACTTGTAATCTTCGGGTTTTTTTTTTTTTTTTTTTTTGGTACTGGGGATAGAATTCGGGTCCTTGTGCTTGCAAGGGAGGCCACCGAACTGCTGAGCTAAATCCGTGGCCTGGACTTGTAATCTAATTGGTTGATCATAGTTTTGTCCCACCTCATAATTTTCCATTGGATCTTACAGGTTTGCCTCATTTATACCCTCCCCACCTCATGGCTTTGGCCTATAAAAAAACACCTTTGAGAAGCAGGGTGGGTGAGCGGGCAACCCACTTTCTAGTTCCTCTTCTGTCTCTCTTAGAAGCCCTGTTTTTCTCATTAAGTTTTTCTGACTCTTAACCTCTGTTGTTTCTAGAATTCATTCTTTTATTTTAGAGAACGTGAGCTCACATTTTGGCTGTCTAGCAGGTTGGGAGTTACATTTCCCTTGTTTGGGTTATTTTGGATTACTTGCCCTGTATCAATTTAAGTGGGGTAAAGTCTTGCCTATCTCCCTGCTCCAAATTAGAGTAGCGTCCAGAAGTGGCCAAGTGAAGCCCTCTTGAAATTATGTACAGGAGACCCTTGCTACCCCAGCGGTGGGTGCCCCACACTTTGCATGGGGAGCTAAAGTTAAACCGTGAGCAACGGTGAGGTCGGGATTGACTGCTTGGCCCTCAGTTTGCCTGGAGATGGGGCCTGTGGGAAACCTGCGGGAGCCCTGTCCTCTCTGGCCACCCTTTGATCCTGCCCAGTTCTGCAGCCAGTGGGCGATCTCGGGTATTTATGTAAAAGAGAAGGACACTGAAACAGTGATTCTTAAAGAGCCGGCCCTTTGTTTTTCCAGGAGGCCGCTCCCCAGCTGTGCAGTGCTCCAACGGGAACACCTGACCCAGGACCCTGCCCCTCAACCCAAGCCTCATTTGCCACTGGATCAGGAAAGTTTCCTAGAGTGCCTCTTTCCTGGTCCCTCTTGGCTCGCTCAGGATACTGGGAACAGGAACCTGAGCGTTCATCACCATGTTGAACCTTAACCTTCCTTTGGGCGGGCTTCAGGTAACACCCAAGGTCAAGCTCCTTTGAAATCTTAAAATCTGGATTAGCAGCCATTGTAACAACAGCAGAAATGTCCTTGGGGGCTGAGCACATTCCACTGTATTACATGAAAGATACAAGCAGGCCTGCAAATTTGCTACCTACCGGGAGCAAGACTCTGACCAGCATCCCTCAAAGGAAGACAGAACTACACAGCTCATGAGGTCAAAGCTTTCCTTTCCAGGATTCCCCAGGCTTTGCCCCTATTTAGCAGGAAGCAGCTGGATCAGAAATCCTGCCACTCAATTCCTCTCTGACAGTGAAATGGAGGGCCAGGGATTTAGCTCAGTGGTGCCGCTGTCTGCTTCGCAAGCGCAAGGTTCTGAGTTCGATCTCTGGTACCAAAAAAATAAAAAGAAATGAATAAAAATGGAATGGAGGGGTCAACAATGAGATGTGTAACAGAAAAGGTTTTACTTTGCCAGAAGAAGTTTTTTGTGTTCTCTTGTCCGGTTGATAGCCTGACCGCCTCATGAGGGGATCGCAGGGGATGAAAGAATAATGTACAAAGAACAAGGAATAAACAATAAAGGATACTTATTATCATTATTTGGGGGGGCTGGGAATTGATCTTAGCTCTGTCCTGGCTAAGGCCGCCCTTGGGCTCTGGATCAGTCAGTGTTTATGACCACACAACACAGTAGGGGGCCTAGAGAGCCGCCGGGAACTGCAGGACTGATGCCCTCAGGAGCTGTACTCTCCACTCCCAAAGGCCGGGTCACCGTGAACAGGGCACCTGCGCCATCTTCAGGCTGTAGCTAATGAGCCCCTAGGTCATCTCTAGCTAATGTTTGATCTTGGAGGAGGCTGCAGAGTCATAATCCCTCTGCTGCTGTGTGCTCTTGCATTCCAGATGTCACAACCTTACGGATCACTGAGCTCTCCATCGTGGCCTGTGGCACAGGGAAGTCCTGTCTCTGTACACCAGCCCAAGGCTCTTTAGCAAGCCACACGTAGGCCTTGGAGTGACTCATAATTTTAATCAATAGCCAAATTCATAAGTCAAATCAATAATATCTAAAGCCTGCTCAGTTTGGTTTCAGGCTGGCTTTCTGCATTCTCTACTGCTTTTTTTTGGGGGGGGTACTGGGAAAAAATTTAAGTCTTAAGAAGTTCATATTTAGTTAAATATTTGTTTAAATATTGTTTTAAAGCTCTACTTATTGTAGGTGCAAAGCGTCAGCCAGCATATTAAACTCTAGTGTTATGTGCCCAGAGCTTTCTGCTCTGGTATTTACAATTCAATGCTGGTTGCTCCGGGGATTTAGCTCAGTGGTTCCAGCACCTGCCTCACAAGCACAAGGACCTGAGTTCAATCTCCAGTACCCATCCCCACCAAAAAACAACTCAATGCTGGTAGTCCAGGAGCATGGAAGACATACCCAGGCATCTCAGAGCCTGAAGGTCAGTCCGGGACTTCTCTGCAAAGAGACTGTGCAACTCAGCCAAAGCTGGGTTGTTATACACTTAGGGAAGGGGCAGGGTGACAGGAACATCATGTCATTGGTTAGAAAGTTACAAGCTTCATTTACCTATGGCCCAGCAACCAGAGTTTCACATATAGCAGGTTCGTTAGTGACCAGAGCATCGAGTCTTACCTTATTTAGTTGCGATGGGAAGTGAGAACAAAATTCCTGAGGTGTTTGAGGGACCCTGGCCCAGGAAGGCCTTGGGCGTGTTAAGAGAATTAGAGGGAAATCATCTTTCCCTGTTAGCAAATCCCACTTTAGGTACAGATAAAAATTCTCTCCCTTTCATTACAAGAAAAGTGAAAACAGATTTTTTAAAAAAAGGAAACAAAGCTTTTGTACACAGGGCATGGGAGGAAGTTTGAGGTAGGGAATAGGATAAAATAAAATTTATAAAAAATAAAAGAGGAGGGCCAGGGATTTAGCTCCGTGGTTCCTCTGCCTTCCTCGAAAGCACAAGGACCTGAGTTCAATCCCCAGCACCAAGGAAGGAAGGAAGGAAGGATAAAATTTTAGTTACATAAACTATTTTATGATGTCTTATATTAAAAATGTAATTGCCCTGATGTAGTCCAGGCAATCATGATTGCTATTATAAATGTGTGTCAGAGAAGCTCAGTTCTTTTGCTGACTTCCTACCTGGCACATTGCTTAGTCATATATATATATATATACACCTGGCAAAAGCCATGATCTTGGTCATGCAGAGTCCTGCTCAACACTGTTTCTGGTTAGTACAATTACGCCGATTCTCATACACTGTTCTGTGTGTACCTGCGATACTCTAAAGATGTGACTCAGCTGTAATTGTTGGTGTTGACACTGGTGAATTGGGTGCTGTCACCCGAACAGAGGTTCACACCAGCTTACAAGAGGAGGGCACCCTGAGGACTTGCTTGGTGCGCCTCTCTGGGACAGCTAAGCTTGCTTCACAGAAGTACTGGCTTTCTCCAAAACGTAGGCCCATGTTTCTCTGTTCAAATCTACTGTGCACACTGGATTTGCTTTGCTTTTCTGGACTTATTTTATGCCTGGTTACAAGCTTTGTGACTGCCCGAGTTGTAATATTTTAGGGTGCTAACGTGGAACAGACAGGAATAGACTTGACGGTGGACTCCAGATGAACACAGCCTAACAGTCACTCTTTCTGGGACTCTGATGTGCTCATATTTGGCAAAAAAAAAAAAAAGAAAAGTTTTATGACATTGACCCCGACTGTCCGTAACATTTCCTCCAGAGGGATGTGTCTAACAGACCACTGGGGAACGCTACCGAGGCGTGGAGGGATGGGGCCTGTCCATTGGCAGTGCCTTCCGGAAGGAAGAAAACGCGAGGAGATGCTGGGGTCGGAGCGGCAGAGGTTACGCAAGGGGCGCCGGGCGCTGGGCGCCACTGCCAAGGAGCAAAAGCCCGTCCAGCAGGCGTGAAGATCTCCCCTGCTCGCTCGCTTTTTAGGGATGCATTTTCAGCTCAAGCGCCCCTTTGCTTCTGCTCCAGCTCCCCTGGCTGGATCTCTGCGCCATGGCTCCAAAGTGAGACGCCAGCCGGATGTCACGGCTCCTCGAGGCGCTCAAGATTGAGGGCTGGACTGAAGCAAGGGGCAGTGACAAAGTGGAACTATTTTTTTATTTTTGGGGAACTTTAAAAATTAGATTCTTCTCTCTCAGAGGTGAGAGACATCTCGAGCTTCCTCCTGCTGAGTTCAACCCCCGCCCCGAGTCCACAGGCAGTGGCAGAACACGCTGAGCCCCGCTTCGGTCCCAGGCAGGGACAGGGGGCCGAGACGCTGGAAGCTGGACGCGGCTGTCCACATCTGCCTCTCCGTGCGCAGGACCCTCGCCCGCTGTACACGCGGGACGGTGACACGAGGCAAACGGCCCCTCCTCCTGCTCGGAGCTGGCTCTGAACAAACCCTTCCCGCTTTTCCGCATGGACACGGACGGAAGTGAGCTCAGGCTGTTCTGCCCAGCCGTCTCGGGGTGTGCAGCGTGCGTCTGCATTTCCGGTGACTGGGCTGCTGGGCACTGGTCCTGTCAATTACTAATGGGCAGCAGGAAGGGGGCCACGGAGGGCCAGCGCCCCGCGGCGTGGACAGGAGGCGCAGCGGCGGTGGGGACCATTGCACGAGGGAGCCTCCGAGGTGGAGGAAAAGGAACTCCAGTCCAGCGGGTGGGGGCCGGGGAGCAGGTGCCAGGGCCGCTGCTGCCTCGTGGACAGGAGGCGCAGCGGCGGTGGGGACCATTGCACGAGGGAGCCTCCGAGGTGGAGGAAAAGGAACTCCAGTCCAGCGGGTGGGGGCCGGGGAGCAGGTGCCAGGGCGCCGCCCCGCTGCTGCCTGGGCCCAGGCGCCTCCTTCGTCTTGGAGACCCTGCTCCAAGAAGTGCACTTTCCGATGACAACTTAATCGCGCACAAGCGCACAGTGGGGAGCGGCCACGCTGACCCGAGCCGGCCGATGCTGGGTGACTGCCTCTCACAGCTTCTCGGTTTCCTGTGCTCAGCGC